ACCATAAAGAACAACTAGAAAGATGTCAAGGAAGCAGTCACTTCAACATGTGATGATGAATGGCTATAGATACTCTGAATAAGTTTTAAGTAAAGAGGAACTAGGAGGCAGCAGTTCATTTCAGGTGGACAAGAGGATAGAAATCCATGGCACGAGCTGAATACACAGAAGCAAACAAGCAAGTGAAGAAAAGCACCAGAGCCGACAAAAGTAAATATGTGAAAAATCTAGCAATGAAGGCGGAAAAGGCTGCGAGATAAGGAACTATGAGAAAATCGTACGAAACAGCAAAGAAGCGCGTTGGAAACTATCGTGAACTAGAACGGCCAGTGAAAAGCAAGGAAGGCAAATTAATCAGCAACACCGAAGAACAGCGAAACAGGTGGGTAGAGCACATTAAGGAACTCCTGAATCAACCAGCCCCATTGAACCTACCTTACAAAGGAGCAGCATCCGCTGACCTCCCAGTCGATGCAGGCCCACCAACAACTGGAGAGATCAGTATGGCCATCAGAAAAATCAAGAGTGGCCTGACAACATACTAGCTGAAGCATTGAAAGCAGACCTGGAAGCAACTGCAAAGACACTCCATATTCTATTCAACAGGATTTGGGGGAAGTATATGTACCAACAGATTGGGAAGAAGGATACTTCATCAGCAAGTGTGAGAACTACAGAGGCATCACTCTTCTCTTTGTACCAGGCAAAGTCGTCAAAACGGTATTGTTAAACAGAATGAAGGACTTCGTAGGCAGCCAAATTCCAAATCAACAGCCTGGATTCCAAATGGATAGGTTGTTAGTTATTTCAATAACTAATTGTAGTTACGTCATAACTAACCAATCGAATTGTGGTTTAAGTGCCCACCACGTGATCTGATCTGATGTGTCTGTAAATTTTCTTTGTTGTAAATGACCTACTAACTGAAGAACATTATTACCTTATTATAATGATATGAGTGATAGTTTTATTCATTTCCATAAGACACGCTATATTAGTCGGTATGTTTGATTGTTTCACTTGAAAGCTGTGATTTCCTTATTTATTGTACTAATCTAATTGTTTTTATGTTTAGAAACAGATAAAGTTTAAAGAAAATTGGTCTTGTTCTGACTGTAGCTTTCCGATAGACTCTGTGCTCCCCAATATTGCTTTATAGTTCCAGAAGCGCCTCTGTATTACAACTTAAATCCTACATAAGTCATGTACCGACCAAATTGCGACATTACGGATCATCGTGGAATAATCTAATGAATGTTATTCATCGCTCAACATCAACTTCATTTACTGAGAAAAGGCAATTTGAAGGGTGGGCAAGATGACGCTATGGATGTTCCTCCGAGACTTTCATGTGCCAGAGAAGATAGTCAACATCATACGGAATTTCTGTGATAGATTAAACTGCAAGTTCGTGCATGTAAGGCAGCTAATAGACTCATTCCATGTGGAGACAGGTTTCAAGGACGGTCGCTTACTTCCACCCTTCCTCTTTCTCTTGGTTATTGACTGGACAATGTAGACGTTCATATCTGTATTAAATCACTGAATCTGATGGACAGCTCGGATGCAACTAGACAATTCGGTCCTTGCAGATGACCTAGCCACTCTATCCTTGAAATGACAAAATATTCAGATGACAACCAGCGTAACAACGACAGTAGGTCCCAACATACGCAAAAGAAGCAGGATCCTCTTGCACAACACAACATGCACCAACCGAATCACGCCTGACGAACAAGCTCAGGAGGATGCAAAAGCTTCACACATCTTAACAGCATGATTGGGAAGCACTGTATATCGGACGCAAATGTGAATTCACTATACCAAAGAAAAAAGGAAGATTAAACAAAACATTACGCCGAGAAGGGCAGACAGACATGAGAAGAATGAACATCTATTGGACAGAGCTAGAAAAGAAGGCTGAGGACAGAGTATGTTGGAGAATGCTGTTCGGCAGCCTATGCTCCGTTGGGGGTAACAGGCGATAGTAAGTATGTAAGTAAGTAAGATAACCGAGTGATTGGCTGAAATAAATTCTGTTGTTAAGGGATGGCTTATATTATCCCTAACGGTTAATAGAAGTAAGGAGCGAAACCACCACTTCATGCTCCTGTCCATGATATCCAGTCGACTAATATGCGTCTGTTGGTCTAGGCCTTGGAGAGAAAACGTGGACTGTCAGACGTTGATTGACCCACTTGCCGGATAATTTGGCTAGGACCAGATGTCAGTTCACTAACCTTACAGCCAGATTTGTGTGATGGAATAAATATAACCTTCTGCGATCTATAAACAGTGAAAATTAATCCCTTCAGGCTGTGTTAGATTCAAGGTCGAGCTTGTAGCATCTCACCATTCATTCATTATACTTCAGTGATTTGTCATTTAACATGTTCGATAATTTTATCCACCATAATTTTGTATTTGTAATAATTCGATAAAGTATCGATTATTGTATATTTGATTGTGTGTGGATGCTTACTTGATTACTACATGTCTAGCCTATTATTGCTTGACGATAAATACTTAGCAATTCTTCAGCTCATGGAGAGTTGGCTTACTCGCCTTCTCCGATTCACTTTGTTTTGCTTGTACGCTTTCCTTCTCATGTTTGTCTGCATAAATGATCGCATGAAATAAACTCTTCCGCGAAACCGCATTTGGCCTTTTTATTACCACCGTTGCACAAACGGGGTTAGCCTTAGTATTATATAACGAAGTGGAAAAGAAAATTTATTTCATCACATACTCGATCATTCATTTACACTGGAGTTCAGTCGTGAGCTGCTAAAAGGTCACCATTTTGGTTGCCTGAGATATGACTCCAAACTTAAGACCTTATGAATATGCTATGAAATAAATTTCCCCTCCATTCTCCGTTTGTGCAACAGAGGCAATTAATACGGATTCAATTGGAAGAATTTATTTCAAACAGTTGTTCATGCATTCATTTAGGCAGACGGACGGTGTGAAAAGCAGATAAGCAAAGCCGGACGAAGCGGAGAAGACCGGCGACCCAACTCCATTCTATAAAGCATGATCCAATATTTATAATTAAGCGAAATAAGCTAGACATCTGACGAGCGTAGTAAGTGTGCATACGCATACTAAAGCAAAAGCGGATGATTGACAAGGTCAAAGGCAAGGGAATAATAACTCAGGAACGATGGATTAGTTAATTTGTCCAAAGGTTTATGACAAGACGTGTGGGTTCGACATTAAAGTACACGTATCACTCCCTATTGAGGTAATTAATTGAAGCTGAATTCGAAGTCCGTTGACTATATCAGGATTTAAAGATATACTCATCAAAATGACCTACTGAAATGATAGCTTGGAATAAGGTGGTTTCTGACAGATGCTTCCAAGTGCATCATGATCCGTACGGCTACCAAGGCGCAGACAGATACACAGCAAATAAGATTGAATTATCCATAATCAAGACAAACAACAACATGAAGCTCATCATCGATTAAGGCTTGAAGATTACTGCACGTTGCCGTGAGATAGTCATCATAGGTTTTAGCGCCATACGGTCCACCTAGAACCTTTAGCCCTGTGGATGATAGAACATTTTTTGCTCCGTATACAGTTTTTATTTCTGCTTAAATTCAGTATCGCATATAAGCAGCCAGCCTGTTTAAAGAAATACAGCGATTTGCTGGAAATGGTTCAAGGGACCGCAACTAAGTTCATTCCCGGAATCCCGAGGCTACCGCATAACTACAGACTGGTTACACTGAACTTGTTTCCTTTGCAGTATAAAAGGACCATAAATAAATAAATCTCAGATTTTAGATTACTTAATGATCATTTTGCATCTGAAACGCTCCTAGAACGATTTGCTTGTCTGACCACCAAACTTCCCATCGAATCATCAACGAATGTAACTCTTTATCTCGACAGGCGACTGAAAATTTATCTTACAATGCATTCAGAAGGAAGCTGAGTCAACTGAGGGATCAGAATTATTAGGATTAACACAGGTCACATAGCCTCCTGTCCTTTCCAAAGTGAAACTGAATGACTGGACATACGAATTCATGAATAACTGCCAAATATTCAGCCGAGTAGCTAAAATACCATCCATTGGACTTTGTTGAAAACCGGGATCAGTACTGAAACAATAAGAAACGAGCCCAAAGAAATCAACTGGTTTATGCCATCTCATGATGAAGATATTGGACATAGGACACCACTCCAAGCAACAAAATGGGTGATAGGGTTGAAAAATAAACCCTACGACGAGAGACTTCGGGTCTTAGGATTATTTCCACTGAGCCACAGGAGAACCAGAGGTGATCTGATTATGGCGTACACCATATTAAACACGCCAAACCATCCCAATGTGAGCATCTTACCGATGCATCACCACCACTCCCCTCGAGGCGATCCTCGAAAGATTGCATATCAAAGAGCGAATACTCAGATTCGTGCACACTTTTTCTCATTGTGAGTCGTCACAATTTGGAATGCTCTTCCAGCTGAGGTGACCACAGCCCCCTCAGTCGACAGCTTTAATAAGAAACTTGATAAAGATGTATTCACATTCCAAATGTCATCTCCCTCGTGGACAAGCTGTGCCAGATACATACCTTGAGACCTGCTAGTTGTTACTACTGCCACCTCCTCAAATCACTAGCTTAATCTATCTTCCTTATTATCTCTGTTTCCTCTCCCTTGTTTACACTTCAGTCCTCTCTCACAATCTTCACTACCAATTAATAAACTAAACTATCTACTGATCTACTTAGTTCTGAAATCTTATTCATATTAGTATTATAATTTCCTCCTTATTATTCCCCACATTGCAACTAACTGATCTCCGTTTCGGTAATGTGACGGCTGCTAGTATCCAGATACCCTACTGCACTGGAACAAACGTTTCATTCAAATCCCGAGACATACAAACTCATAATCAACTGCCAACTGACTAGAATTAGACTGTCGAGTGGCTAGACCTCCATCCATTGGACATTACCGAACACCTGGAAGAGTACCGAAAGAACAAGAATCGAGGGCGAAGAAATCAAATTGGTTTGCACTAGCTCGTGAAAAAGATATTGGATATTGGATACGCGCTCAATCGTTAGCATTCAAAAATGTCCGTTGTCCTCGGGGTTTTACTCCTGACGTTGGCTTTGATTTGTAGCGGCTTGGAAGGTATTATAATCTATGTAGTCACAGTGCTTTAGTTCGTTTGAAGGCTAATGGGGAAGTTGGAACTTTTCTTTCGGCGGTAAAGTTGGAAGGTCTTCCGTACTTCAAACGTTCTGTAAATTTCTCAGTTCCCGTGACTGTGAACTACGAAATCACAGGGGTTAACGACCCATCTGCTGTTAAATTGTCTTGGAAACTTAATGGCGAAGAAATTTCAGTTAAACGACGTGATGCAGCTGATAAACCTATCCTTCACGGAGATTACTCCTCAGAGAAATTCTCTGAATCCACTCATACTTTGGAAGTCACTTTGCATTTAAATCATAAAGGTATTTTTGTTTATACACCTAATGCAAATTAGGCCCGGTTCCTGGAAATTATACTTTAACTGCAACAACCGACGGGATTACATCTTCGGGTTCTGGCTTTGCATACAGTACGTTTTCTTTTGAATAACTGTTGCCACCAATACTTATAGTGCATTAACTCCTAGATTTGGTAGCTTGTAACCCAGTCCATTAATTATCCTGGCACTTTTAGTTAGTGACCTGATTTTAATGCATGAAGTACGATCCTTCAGTATAACTCATTCAAGGAGGATCAACAGAAATAAAGTTTCATGGGTTAGGTACAAAGACTTAGCTTTCAGACCGATCTATTAAATTGTTGGACATTACAAAATCGTTTCACGATGTCTGTGATTAAATGAGTAATATCATGCGAAGCGATATAGTGTGTAACAAGCTAACCTGTATTTTCCATGGTAGAAATCAAAGTACGAACAAGCTGATCTGGAGTAATATGGTACTCAGTCATAACTCAAACCTAAGTAAAACACATTTAAGTATGTTCTTTGCTTAAGAATAAATGTAGTTCAAACGTATGGGAGCCTATATTTTGTTACTGTTCTCCGATGGCTGAATGGCTTAGTATTTTAACATACGCAAAATATGGGGAAATTCTTTCCTTTGGAACCCACTAGCTACCAAAAAGTTATGCAACCTCGCAAATTTAAAATAGGCTATGGAGCTTGAGGAGTTTAGAATGTTAATGACACGTTTCACACTAATCATTTTTAGAGATGACAATGTTGACCAGAGTCCTAGTTTTCGTACGGAGTGTTTATAGAACTCATGGTTGTTGCTCTGTTACGTACTAACATGGGACCCTGAACGTTGTGCGTTGGAATCTGAGTGTCTCGCGTGAATTATACCAGCTTGGGTCACTGGTGGGACAGGCGGTTTGTCCTGGTACTCAAAGAGTAAGTATACTGTTCAACAGTCCTCATAATAATCCGGTCATGGAACGTGGTCAAAAAAGAATACGACATAAGTGAGCTGTAGGATTTCGTCCATACGTGTCTTCCAAGCACTATCTGCAACGTATAGAACTGTCTGCTCAACGCGGATGTTAGAAATAGGATATTAGGAAAGTATCGTAAGTCGCTTTGTCGAGTAATGAAGTCTCTTCAACTGAAGTAACTGAGACCCTGCTTATATCCGACCAGTGCTTTGTTAGCTAAAGTAAGGATTTGTTGTGAGAAAACTATGGTTGGCCATCACAGTCCATCAAGTCATTGGATGTTGACTAAAGTCATGTTGGTAGATGAAAATGACCTGATTGATTTTTTCTGGATAACCAACCATTGATTGAGGACGTTGGGTGACTTGCCTCAAAAAAAGCTGTAATGGCACAGGATAACTCACTCTGTCTGCCATTGGGTCTTCGCTAACTGACCATCTTATATGTAGATGAACATCTCATTTGTGTCAGGTTCTGTAAGAAAGTTTGGTAGGATAAAAAAAAGGATTTAAAATACAATTGGGTTTAGTTTGAGAGAAGTATCGAACGTTGTACACTTATACAATTTCTTTCAGATTGTTGATTAATTTCTGTCTTAAAACGCAGTTCATATTGATCTAGTAATTGTGCACGATTTAGTAATAATTAGAGAAATACTTAAAGGGATATACAGTAGACATAGGTAACTTTAGCTTTCTTCATCATGTAAACATTTTGAATCAGAAAAGATATGGATCAATCATAAACTTATGTTTATTCTCCAAAAGTGCAGTAAGAGCTTTTTAATCCTTTAATGTTTAAATGCACTATCAAGTTAATAATGATAATTTTATTAGTATTTACATTTTGATAGTCAGTTAGCTACAACGTATAGCTGCTAAATTGGAAACTGCTTTTTCGCATCGTTTTCTCGTCCTTAAATAGTCCTCTAAATCATAGATATATCTTCTATGTCAAATGTTCTCAGTGTTTGCTTTAGTATAATGCCCAGGTTATGCTCTTGTGTTCTTGCAATATAAAGTCATGCAACTTATCAACCATACTTGGATCTGCACATTTAACGTGAGGGTCCACATGTTTGTCAAGATTTGATTATACTGTCTGTTCTTCTAAACCTTATTCAGTGACGGAGATTGAGACGTGTCTAGTTTATCATAATTACTTTCTATTATCTGTTTTTGAAGCTATGAATTCGCTAATTTTATTTTTGCAAGTCATGTCGATTGTTTATTAGTTTAATTATATGTGTTACGTGTTGTTGTATACATTTTGCAAGAAAAATCGAACTAGTTAAAACGTGTGTAACTGAAAAAAAAATCACTTTTCATGTGTTTTTAATCAATAATATTTCCCAGGTCCACCAATCCTTCCATTGTTCACTAAACCAAAACGTGTTTTGGAAGGTGATATTATGCGATTGATTTGTCGTGTAAGTAGTTATCCTCCAACAGTCTCTGTAAAATGGAGTTTTGCACCTGTACAAGCTAGTCATATGGATGATGAACATGCTTTGAATACAGCTCTACATCATTTACAACCTTTAATGACTAATGAAACGCATTATGTGCTAGAATCAAGTGATGGTACACTGAATGATACTCTTCGTTTTTTGGAATTAAAAGGAAGTGATAATGGTTTGTATGCATGTAATGTTTCATCTGAACGTGGTTCTGATTTCACATTGATGATTGTCAATGTTAAAGGTAATTATTATCAAGTTTTACTATTGTGTTATAAGTTTTATATTACTATTTAGTTTTTGTTCAATATATCCGATAATAAAGAACTTGAAAGAAAAAAACTTCAAACATAGTACAATTTGTAAGTATGTAAAATTCAATTCATTACATTGTCAATTAATGCAACCGAAACATAAATATTAAGTACGTTAGTAGTGTACAAACTAACATTTGTAATCTAAATGACAATAATTCATGTGCAATTTCTCCTAATGAGTGTAAATTTTGTCTCTCGGTATTTTCTGTATATCAGTAAACGTCTACTATCTCTAAAACTGATAAGTATTCTGTGTATTTAATTAGTAAATTCGTAACTTGTTAAAATCCTAATTATATAACCCTTTTAATGGTTTTATTTATCTTGTGCCTGCCCTTATTAACTCCGCAAAACATGTTCCGTTGAGATTTTCCGGTCGATATGCATTTACTGGTCTTTTCTGTTTTATGGTATATTTAGCTAGCTGCTACATTATACCCTTTTTGACACCCACTACCTTTTTATAAAGGTCAATGACGAAGTTACCAGATTAATATAGTTTAATTATAAATAGACACTTAGTTCATTTTCTCTCAATTGAATAGCTTAGTTGTCAAGTCCACACTGTTCTACTGAACGAATTCGTTTGCACTGGGTTTTTTTTTCAAACTAATCTAGTTGATTGGGTTCATTTATTATTTATCGAAACCAAATAAATAAATATAATTGGCTCCATTATTTGCTGATCACGAGATATTTTATGAATCAGGTGTAATGTAGTACATAAAACAACTCCATAAGGATATGGTTTTATCACACAAAGTGGACAACCCGTTCCTCCTTGTATATATGTAGTGAAGGAGAACACAGGTGGGGCAACCGGATTGTATTTAACGAAAATTACAGAGTTACTCGGTAAAATCGGAAAACCATATCGTAAATCGTTCATCTGCAAAATATCAGTCCATCATTTCGAACTGGACTGTTCCTGTTGCAAAACATCAATCCATTGTCACTATTCATGCGTTTCATACAAATTCCATTGTGTTCTAACTCTTCCTTTCTTGATCTTCCCCCATCTTCTGCTGCCAGACATTACGTTGACACTCACATCGTAATTTTAGAAATATACGGAGGGCAACGGCTGGCTCCTCACTTCCCTCGCCTTGACTAATAGTTACGAAGTTTGCAGCTACTTAACGAAAGTTAATCCATGTCATACAACTAATATTGAATAGATATTTCTAAAAATAATTTTCTTCACGAACAGTAATTTTGGCTAGAGGATAACTTTAAATTAGGCAGTACTTGGGCGCCTGTTTCATGGTAGTTTCAAACCCTTCCGAAGTTCTCGTAATCAGTTGATCCCTCCCTCCGAAATTGGAATAATCACTTGAGATTTCTGGGGAATAGTGCAAAGTCGCTCTCACATACTTATGCCTGCTACCCTCAATGAAGCATAGGTCACCGACCAGTATTTTCCAACCTGCTTTGTCCTGGGCCTCCCTTCCCAGTTCTGTCCAGTTTTCGTCCATTCTTATGTCTGTCTCTATTATTTGCCGTAATGTGTTCTTTGGTCTTCCTATTTTCCTTTGTCCTTGAGGGTTCCAAGTTGGAGTCGCTCTTAGTAAATTAATAATATGAATAGCTCATAACATCATCTTAGGTCAGTCCAGTCAGTCAGTTGCAACGTAGAACTTCGTACGTATGTACATAAGTTCATGTTGCCATACCACATTAGCACAGAGACGCAAATGTCAAATCAAATCCCATAGTGATAAACATAGTAGAGGTATTAATGTTAATAAAGAAGACTAGGGTTCGAAGATATTATTCAAGAAGTATAATTCAGTGAGATAAGGTTAGAAAGACAAAGGTAGAGGTGTTGACGAATCCAGAAGATTAGGATTTGAGAGAACACAAAGAATGGATGCACTTGCACCATTGCAAACGATTTTGAGCCATGTCGTTCAAGGTCTCTAACCATTGGTGACTATCGTCTCGCGGACCCCAACCAGGTAGTCTACATCTACCAACATGACTCAGTCCACTTGTCAGTGACTTCATGGATTTGTGCCATGTTTTGGTCTGGCCGCCCCTAACTTTCTTCCAACCTACTCCTACACCACAAAAACATCATCTTAGGTTATTCTAGATGACCTGAATCATTGTTGTTCTGTTTTTCAGTGTTTAGACGCCCTTCAACAAGGAAAGTTGAATCTTGGTTCTTATTTCCAATTGAAATTTCGTTGATACAAATTTTTCTTAGAATAGTTTAAATTAAATTCAATTACATAAAATATGTTTATCGTTTACTCTTTTGAAATGAGTGAAATTAGTTTATATAGACAGCAAAATTGTTATCAGTAAGCTTGATTTTCTCAAAATAACTAACTAACAAGTCAACTCCACATCATAGTAGGATAATGTTTTTTGTTCTCTGTGTTCTCTCAAATCCTAATCTTCTGGATTCTTCAACACCTCTAGTTTCGACTCTCTAAACTTTTCTCACTGAATCATACTTCTTGAATAGTATCTTCTCATCCTAACCTCTCCGATTACTCCTAATACCGTTACTACCTCTTCTACTGTTGGATTTGAATTGACGATTACTTCTCTGTGCTGATGTGGTATGGCAACATGAACTGATGTACTTATGTACAAAGTTCTACGTTGCATCTGACTGACTGAATGTTTTTTGTGGTCAGAGAACTCAGGATGTTTCAGTTTCACTTACATCAATTTTGGCACCTGGATAGGTGGTATCATTAGAACTTATACAAACTAATGTAGCTTCTCTTTATCTTCTCACCGTGGGGAGCAGACATGTGGTCCGGATGATACTATCTCTGGTCTTGGTATAAATTATTGCATAGTTGTATTTTTTCATTCTATTAAACTCATCAGTCTTATTAAAAAGCTGCTAGAATGTTACGAATGATGCCATTTTCTATTGACGGTTTTTTAATAAAATATTATACCTCTGTCTACTGATGTGTGATAATGAATTTTCAGGCGGTGATTTTACGCTCTTACCTACGCCTGTTATTCTTCGTGGAGTATAGTCAATCAGTTAGTTAGACAACTGCTTGAGGCCGGTCACGCACTGCCTTTTTTTGAGTTTTCAAAGTGTTAGCTCCGCTCTTGTTTAAAAAGCCTTACCGACGGAGACGAAAATCCGTAAGGTAAAGTGAGGTGTGTCATTTTTAGGTTCGACCTTTTCTAACTGCTTCCTTCCTTGTGAGAAGGCAGCATCACTGCAGATGCTGGTTGTCCGAGGGAAACACATTACTGCTTTCACACCCCTCTGCAGTCAGCAGTACGACTTCGCCCTCAGACCTTGAGTAGCTGCTTTTAGTCTTATCGTTCTCCAATCGACCTGCCTGTCATGGTAGAACCTTCAGGAACATATGTTCCAGCCTGGTTGGGTCATGACGATAGGCAAGCCCGACCACTACGTCAAGATAGCAGCTACGGTCGGGCGTGGAGCAAAGACTCTCTAACCAACCATGCTTTGGGCTGTTCTTTCCACGTAGTATCCATTCTTTGGGCGCCTTTCTCCAATTCTAAGCTTATAAAATGTGTTCTCTAGTCTTTCTATGTTTGTTTTTTTAAAATCTTTCTTTTTTTCTTCTTGTTATGAATGTTTATTATTTCAGATCGTTGGGCAGCTCTTTGGCCATTTATTGGAATTATTATTGAAGTTACTATATTAGTTATAGCTATCCTACTATATGAACGTCATCAAATGCATACAAAGCCAACTAATCTTCCTTCTGGTAAATCTGATACTACCACTGGTGGTGCTGGTGCTATTTCTGGTCAAGATAATGTATCTGCTACAACAATGCCTAATAATAAAACTCAAAATAATAATAATAATATCAGTCAAAATAATCTTACAGTTCCTGTTCATGCTAATGATGTCAGCACTGAAAATGCAGATGGAAGGTTAGTTAGTTTACTTTCATTAAAAGACTATATGAATTCTGATTTATTATTAAATAAAGATGAATTCTAATTTATAAGATTGTGAAAATTATTGAGTTTCATTGAAATCATATATATATATATCAATGTAAAATCATCATTCGAAACCTGAAAGCTATGAACAGCCGTTTCATCCTAGTATGTGCATTGACAACCTCCGCATAAGAATCAAACCCAGGATCTTGGGTCTCGTGTGCGACCGCTTAGCCTCTTGACCACCTCATTCATTGTCTTCAGTAAGTAATTGCATCATACTCGACACTTCCTATGAAACTCATCAATCTCTACAACTTTATATTGAGAATTATCATGTGTTCAACAACACTCTTGAAGACTTTTCCTGGTATTAAGAGTACGGTGATGCCTCTGTAGCTCTCACACTTTCTGAGATCACCTTTCTTTGGTATCTTGATGAGTTTTCCTTCGTTTCAGTCAGTCAATTTTTGGTTCTTCTTTCCAAATCTTTCTGAACACTGCATGGAGTATCTTTGTAGTTACTGCTGCGTCTGCTTGTTAGGTTGGAAGAAACCTAAAGGCAGCCAAACCAAAACAGCACAAATCAATGACAAGTGGATTAAGTCGTGTTGGTAATTGTAAACTTCCTAGTTTGGGTCCACAAGATGATCAATCAGTCAGTTAGAACGTAGAACTTCGTACGTACATACATAAGATCAAGTTGCCATACCACATTAGCACAGAGACGCAATTTTCAGTACAAATCCCATAGTTGTAGAGATAGTAGGAATATTACCGGTAATCTTTTTTATGATTGCTAATACTTCTACTACTTCTACTAATATCGGATTTGAACTGACAGTTGTGTCTATGCTAATGTGGTATGGCAACTTGAACTTAATGTATGTACGTACGAAGTTCTACGTTGTAACTGACTGACTGATCATCTTGTGGACCCAAACCAGGACGTTTACAATTACCAACACGACTTAATCAACTTGTCATTGACTTCATGGATTTGTGCCATGTTTTGGTTTGGTCGCCCCTAACTTTCTTCCAACCTACTCCTACACTACAAAACAAAGCTCGTCGAGGCAGTTGGTGGTTAGCCATACGCAGCACATGTCCCAACCACCTGAAATGATGAAGTTTCAATCCTTCACCTATTGATTTGCCATTCTTAACTAGCACTCGTTTCCTAGCTATAGCATTGCATACTCGGTTGTCCCATGATATGCGAGCAATGCTTCGGAGACACGTATGATCGAAGACAAGCAATCTACTAATGTCCTCTCCTCTTACTGGCCATGTTTCGCATCCTTATAGTAGGACAGAGCTAACTGCTGTGCATTACAGTCGTCCTTTGGTTAGCAAACTGATATCTCGCCTACGCCATAGGTGACGCAACTTGGCGAAAGCCAAGCTAGCCTTCTATATCCGTGCTGAGACTTCGTCAGTCACCAGACCATCAGCACTGATGAGACTCTCGAGATAAATGAAGCTGTCAGCATGCTCAACTGCTTCACTTCCTATCACTAGTTCAAGTGCTGATACAAGCCAATCCTGAAGCAGCATTTTGGGGGGGGGGAACCGCATCCCGAACATGCTTGCATTGTTGCTTAAGGTAGTTAGAAGACTGCATTTTGTCAGCGTCTTCACCGAATTGGACTATGTCATCGGCATACTGTAAGTCAGCGAGCGTTTCTCCCGGTAGAAGATCTACTCCTAAAAAGTCAGACACAGATAATGTTAACTCTAAAAGCATGTTTACCACAAAGTTGAACAAGAATGGAGACAATGGACAGAGTGGACTTAAAGTAAAGATTTCCGATGACTGTTCACCATAAGCCGTCATTCGACCAAAGGTGTTCGCGTAGAAAGCCTGTATAAAGTTAATGTACTTCTTTGGTACACTTTTCAATGACAGACATTGCCGCAGAACCTCACGATCCCCAGAGTCGAATGCCGTCTTAATGTCAAGAAATACTACTCTTGTGGGGCGTCTGAACTTGTGTCTTTGTTCTAGTAGGACCTGACGTAGTGTGAATATTTGGTCTATACATCGACGTCCAGATCAAAAACCGGCCTGGTTTTCTCCTGTCCGCTCTTCACGAGCACTGGTAAGGGGTCTAAGTATAATCGAGGTCCTGGAAAACAACTATTGTAGGACACCTAGATATGTGTCTGTTTTCCAGGACCTGTCTTAGTGTGAAAATGTGGTCTATACAACCACGTCCAGGTCGAAAACCAGGCTGGTTTTCTCGAGTCTGCTCTTCACGAGCTTTCATCAAGCGCCGAAGTATTATTGAGGCCAATATTTTCGATACTATTATTAGTTAGACTAATTCTTCTGTGATTATCACAAGAGGACTTTTGTCCTTTCTTTTAAATTGGGACAAACAGTGTTTGAGACCAGTCCGATGGTATTACGTCCAATTTCCAGATTCTGCCTAAGATCTCAGTCATTCTAACTGACTGGTAGAACTGGACCACCATCTTTAAATATTTCAGGAATGTAAGTCTGTTAGGCCCAGCTACGGTCGGGTGATAAACTATTTAATGAATTGTTAAAACCCATCTAGTTTTTTGGTATCAGCAGGTTGCCAATTCCAAGCTCTTAGCTCTACACTTACGTCAGTGTTTTTTACCAGTCTTATTATAGAGAAGAAGCATTAGTTATTCTAAAGGCTGATCAACAATAACTCTATTTTGTCTTTTTTTTTTGTTTTACGTGTGTGTTCATGAAAATAAATCGAACGATTATCTTACCATAATTTTATTAAACACATTCCTAAGTTCATGCGTGTACTACTTCACTTATTTATTACGAAAAAAATAGATTTCTTTTCTTAAAAAAAAATTATTGACATGATATTGTGTGTGTGATTAAAAAATAAAATGATAATCATGAGTTTTTTTTTCTCGCTCTTATTTTTTGTAGTTATTTGTCAATCAGCAGCAGTATTGTCAAATAAATTTCAAATATTGAATTATTTTTTTTTTGAAAAAAAATCTGTTCTTGATAGCCCTTTATTTTGTTCGATAACAAAATCTCTTTTTTCATTGATTGTAATGTAGACCGAATTCATTATCCATCAATGAGTTCTTGATGTTGAAAAAATTAATACACCTAACAGTAGTAATAGTAGTAGTAGTAGTAGTGTGGTGTGAGCTACTTATAAGTAGTAGTATATGACGTGAGTGTTAACTTAGTGTCTGGCAGTAGAAGATGGGGGAAGAGTTAGAAAACAATGGAATTTGTATGAAACGCGTGAATATTAGTGACAATGGATTGATGCTCTGCAACAGGAACACTCCAGTTCGATAGGATGGACTGATATTTTGCAAATGAACGATATACGATATGGTGTTCCGGTTTTACTGAGTAACTCTGTAATTTTTGTTGAATATAATTCGGTTGCCCCATCTGTGTTCTCTTTCACTGCATTTGGTGTCGCTGCCTGCTCGAAGGAAGAATCTCCCGTGGCCGAAGGAGTTGGAGGACGGAGATTTGAGGAGCTTCCTGGAGGAGTTTGAGGCCACGGTGGAGCTGGTGGTGGCCCGGGGCGGAGTTGGCCGTGCGGGGGACGCTTCGGGGAGGCGAAGGCGGTATACGACAGCCTGGACGCTGCCGCCGGGAAGACGGCGTGGGAGTCGGTCACCGGGCGGCTGATGACGGGGTTCGACAGCCCAGTGGACAAGGAGGAGGCGCTTCAGAGGTTCCGGTTGGCGAGGCTGTCGGCTGATGGTGACCCGTTGGTGCTGGAGCTCACGATGTTGCTGCGCCGTACGCTGTCGAGTATGGATGGGGAGTCGGGGGCACAGTTGTTGACGTCGCAATTTATCGAGAGTGTGCCTGCCGCCGTGTTCCAGCAGCGGGAACTAGTAAACGCTACACGTTGGATAGATGCCGTATCCATTCCAGACCAGCAGGCAAGAACAATGACCGAAGTGGTAATCCGGCATATTGTAGCGTGTCACGGAATACGGAAGGTGATATTAACTGACCAGGGTCCCTGTTTTGAAAGACTACGACAGCTTATAAAAAAGGGGGGACGAGTGTGGTGTCAGCTACTTTTAAGTAGTATATGACGTGAGTGTCAATGTAATGTCTGGCAGCAGAAGATGGGGGAAGAGTTAGAACACAATGGAATTTGTATGATACAAATGAATAGTGAGTGACAATGGATTGATGTTTTGCAACAGGAACAGTCCAGTTTGATATGATGGACTGAATGTGTAAAACTTGGTACACATAGGTGGTGTTGGTGTGTAGGTATATCAATTCAAGTTACCTCATTAGCACAAAGAGATGAAATTGTCAGGTCAAATTCCAATAGACTGGCGGTTTTGGCCAGTTTTATTATCATGGTAATGGAAATTCAATAAAAATATATGTTTCAGTGAAATAAAGACTAAAAAAAATTTGTGATGTATTGATAAGTATTTGCACTGTTACAAGCGGTCATTCACAGTCTCTCTAACTAACTATCGGTTATTGATTGTCTCATGCACACCAATTAGGTGATGGTAGTCCACACCTACTAACATGGTCGGTCCAGTTCAGTTGGCAATGACTTAATGGATTTGTACTATGTTTTGATTTGACCATTCCTACCTAACTTGCTTCCAGCTTATCCCTAGCTAACAGAGACAACATCGCTCGTTGACACAGTTGGTTAGGTATACATACGTAACACATGTCACAAGCGACCACCTCAACTGTGATGAACATTTTACTACTTCATTAAATGATTAGCTATCCTTACCTAGTTGGCATCCTTTTCCTAATCATAGCTTTGCTTATTCGGTAACCGAAGCAGTACTTGGACTTCAATTTCAACCATGTGTTAATTGAACAAATTTTTTTGTTCATATTTTGTGCACCATTCATACTCACTGTTTACTGTTTTTAACTACTCTACAATTTGCTTAGACATATTGTGAACATGTGTCATGTTCTCTATGTTCAATATCACTAAAATCTAGTCGATGATAATTATAAATTGGTTAACACAATCAATCAATAGCAACGTAGAACATCGTACGTACGCTCGTACATCAGTTCATGTTGCCATACGACTTTAGCACAGAGATGTAATAGTCAATTCAAATCCAATAGTAGTAGTCGGAGAGGTTAGGATTAGAAGATATTATTCAAGAAGTAGAATCTAGACTTAAAAAGATAAAGATAAAATGATGAGGAATTAAAAAGTCTAGGGTTTGAGAGAACACAAAGAGTGGATGCACCTGCGCCATTACAGACGGTTTTGAGCCATGTCATTCAGGGTCTCTGACCATCGATTATTATCATCTCGCAGACCCCAACCAGGTAGCCTACATCTACAAACATGACTCAGTCCACTAGTCAGTGATTTCATGGATTTGTGCCATGTCTTAGTTTAGCCTCCCCTAGCTTCCACTCAGTCTACTCCTACACCACAAAACATAGCTCGTCGAGGAAGTCGGTGGTTAGGCATACGCATCACATGTCCCAACCACCTCCGCTGATGAAGTTTCATTACTTCATCTACTAATCTGCAATCGTTACCTAGCACCCGTTTTTCCTAACAATTGATTATCACACAACTTATATAACTACAAGGAGATATACTTAACAACATTCGTTTTTTTTCTCCCATTTAAAATGTTTTAATAAATAAACGCTTCGAAGATTGTTTTGGTGGTTAAAATTGTGTATGCTGTGAAAACTATGACTCTATCTATATATTGTGACATCATCATTATTGTTATACTTTTTTTTGTAGAGATCAAAAAATCGATGAGATTCGTTTACGTGCTCATGCCAAATAAGTGTTCGTATTTGGTTTTACATTAACAAAGAACATCTACAATGATATAACCTTTGCACAGTGTGTGACACTCATGTTTTCAATGGGTACACATGCGCGCGCACAATGCTGGCTGGTATTGTAATTATTATTATTATTATTACTATTATTAGATAAAAATCTACTCTTTTTATGTCTGCATAGTTTCTTATTCATTTCGGTTGATGATCATTCATTCATAATCATAATAATAATACACTAGTCTAAATTTTCATTGATTCATGTGTATAGTATATTAGGTTTCACTTTTTGATTATATTTCTTACTTTAAAATAAAATCTCGACATAGTATTTAATTTATTTATCTGTTACTTACTCACTGCCCTCATTGTGTCTGTCTGTCTACTGTGTGTGTGTGTCTCTGTCTCTTTCTCGCTCATGTGAACTTTCATTCAATCATTGATCTGTTGTCGTCTATTTTTGGCATTTGTGTTCATTCAATCATTCATTCCTATTCTGATTCAATTACATTTTGTTTGTTACGGTATTTCACTGATCAAATGAATTCAAACGGCCAACAACCAACTATATACATACTGATATGTTATGTATTCTTGTTTTTCTATGAAAACAAGTTCATTCATTCATTTACACTGATATGTGGGCATTATCTGTCCACGTCCTCCGCCGCCCTGCCCCCTCACCACCCACACACACTACATAAAATAAACAATATTTTTAAAAATCAATAATTACTTTTTTTTTGTCTCTTGATGATCATTTTTTTAAAATGTGCATTATATATACATATATGTGTATTTTTTGCTCTTTGCTTGTGACCTTGACCTTAAATTATTTGATTGTCAATGATGGCCGATTGCAAAATAAATTAATGAATGAGAAAGTACGAGGTACTATATAATTTTTAAGTAGTAGTGATGAATGCTGTGAACGTTTATTATATTAGATAGAGAAAAAATAAATTTACCGAAAAAAAATTTTTTTTGACATTTTGTTTTAATCATTGAATTTGTTTGTGTTTATGCTGTGTGTTTTTTGTCATATAATAATGAAATAGAATGAGCCGAAATTATAAAGTTTAATCACGAAATAAAAAAACAAACACTTGAATTTGATTTTAACCAGACAAATAACTGTAAAAGTAGATTGATATCCGTGTGTGTGTGTGTATGTGTATGAACTCCGTATGCTAAATTGTCGTAAATTTTAATTGACAGACAACTTTTGGTATTGTGATGTAGTGAGTGTACTTGTAAAAATAATGAACACGGACAAATTACGTGAAATTCTCGAAATTCATTGTATCACAAGTGAATTGTGGTGTTTTTTTTGGGAACAAAAAAAAATTCACCTGTGTATCGGTTTTTTTTTTTAAAGCTGTTCTGCTCGTTGAGGCAGTCATGTATAACGCGGTAAATCTGACAGGGATTCAGAAAGTATTGTTCTCCTCATGCAACAGTTATATTTCATTTAATACTATTAATGTAGTGAACGAGAACACAGATGGGGAAACCGAATTGTATTTAACGAAAATTACAGAGTTACTCAGTAAAATCGGAAAACCATATCGTATATCGTTCATTTGCAAAATATCAGTTCATCATATCGAACTGGACTGTTCCTGTTGCAGAGCATCAATCCATTATCACTATTCATGCGTTTCATACAAATTCCATTGTGTTCTAACTCTTCCTACTTTCTTGATCTTCCCCCATCTTCTGCTGCTGTCAGACATTACGTTGACACTCACGTCATATACTACTTATAAGTAGCTCGCACCACATTAATCGTAAAGCCTTACTGTTAAATCAGTACCGAGTACGTTTAGTAATTATTACAGATTTAGATAGGTTTTTTTCACTAATCGTAAGGATTATAATATTCGTGTATCATATTTAATTTAAATCATTTACTAGTCATCTGATGATAATCACATGTGATATATGAGACCAACCCTACATGTATTTGTATCCGTGTAATGTGCTATATCCTACACACGGTGGAGAACGCTTACTAAATGAGAATCAAATTTCTAATGGTAATAAGCATTTCGAGTATAGTGAGTGATATAATTCGCATTGATTAAAAAGGAGTATACCTGGTGTTACTGTGAAACATGGAATTATGGGTCAATATTTCAAGGGTTAAAGAATAGAATTACATCTACAATTCTGTGATCGATCACACGTGCATGGGACAAATGTCATAAAATAGTTTCGTATTCCTGTTGTTTCATATGCTATCAAAATGAACACAGTAATCAACTTTTTCAGTAAGTATGGTCAGCTTAGGTATCGACGGATACAATTACTGATGTAACATCTTACGTTCAGGAGAAAAACTCGAAGACCTTTCTGGCATTGTAATGATAGATTCATTAGACCAATTAATATGTTATTGAATCGGTTAGGAATGTTTTGGCGAAGAAATGGATTGTAGTTTGTCACCGATTCATAGATATAAGTTAAGTAGATGTATAATAGTGGATGTCTGATTGTCATTATCACAAGCCAAGCGCAAATCAGGTGACAGACACTTCAGTAAACCTCTTAGTGATACATATCAGAAACCCTTTTACAATCAATGATTACAGCGAGACATTACAGAATATAGTCATATTCGAAATATATGACTTGGTCAATTTCGATTTATGAGACACAGTCACTTACAACGTACGTAATACGTGAGGAACCAGTTATTTGGAAACAGAATCACAACCAAGAACCAATCTAAATCAATAGCATCTATTTGCACTTGAAGTCAGTCAGTCAGTTGCAACGTAGAACTTCGTACGTATGTACATAAGTTCATGTTGCCATACCACATTAGCACAGAGACGCAACTGTCAGTTCAAATCCCATAGTAGTAGCGATAGTAGAAGTATTACCAGTAATGGAGAAGATTAGGGTTCGAAGACATGATTCGAGAAGTATAATTCAGTGAGATATCTTTAGAAAGAGAAAGATAGAGATGAGGAATTCAGGTTAGAATTTAAGAGAATACAACGAAAGAACGCACCTGCGCCATTGCAAACGATTCTGAGCCATGTCGTTCAAGGTCTCTAACCATTGGTGACTTTCGTCTCGCGGACCCCAACCAGGTAGCCTACATCTACCAACATGACTCAGTCCACTTTTCAGTGACTTCATGGATTTGTGCCATGTTATGGTCTGGCCGCCCCTAGCTCTCTTCCAACCTACACCACTTAACAGCTCGTCGAGGCAGCCGACTGTTAGGCCTACGTAACACGTCCCAACCACCTCAGCTGATTAAGTTTCAATACTTCATCTATTGATTGACGATATCTACCTAGTACTTGTTCCCTATCTATAACATTGCTTAATCGGCTGTCTCAGGATACAAGATCAGTGCTCTGAACAAATCTATAATCAAATACTAGTAACCTACGGACGTCCTCTTCTCTCCCCGGCCATGTTTCGCATCCGTATAGTAGGTCGGGGCGAACTGCTGAGCAGTACACTTGTCCTTTGGTTAGCAAGCGGATATCTCGCCTGTGCCGGGTTGGCAAAAGCCAATCTGCCTTTCTGTTTCCGTGCTGATATTTCGTCAGTCACCAGGCCATCGGCACTGATGAGACCCCCGAGATACGTGAAGCGTTCAACACGCTCAAATGCTCCACTCCCTATCACTAGTTCAGGTGCCCATGCCGCCCAATCTGGATGCAACATTTTGCATTTCGAGGTTGACATGTTATTGGGGAATGTTAATCAACTGTGCATGTAGCGTTTCATAACGTGACTCGTCAGATGTAATATTGTTCTTGTCCGCAGGGAACAGCTATTCATGTGATAAACTCAGCAGAATTTAATATCGTTTAAACCTTGAACTTGCAAGCTTTCAACACCATAACTATGGGCCCAAACAGTATCAACAAGTAGGACTATGAAGCTACAACATCAGTCATAGCACATTGTGACAATAAACTGTTCAGTGGGCACAATCGGCAACTAAACACACGTCACATTGCTGCTATTAATCATCACATAACGCATGATGTGCAGAAATCCTTAACATATCAGTAGCAAAAAAGTGCTGTTTTCAGTTATTTACAACGTAGAGCTTCGTATGCACGAACACCAGTCCAAGGTGCCATACCACGGTAGCAAAGAGATGAAATCGACAATAGATGTTGAGGTATGAGCAGTAATCGGAAAGACAAGGCTGCGAAGATATTATTCAAGAAGTATAACCTAGTGAAATGTATTTGAGAAGTCGTGTTCATGAAATATTCAGAGAACAAAGAATGGACGCACCTGCATCATTACAAACGATTTTTAGCTATATCGTTCAATGTCTTTAACAGTCGGTTACTTTCATCCAGAGAGCCCCAACCAGATAAGTAGTCTACACCTAACTAGTCCACTTGTCAGTAACTTCATGGATTTGTGCCAAGTTTTATTTTGAACGCCCCTTAGCTATCTTCCAACCTACTCCTACACCATAAAACATCGCTCGTCAAGGCAACTACCACCGGCTGCCTCGGCAAGCTGTTTTTTTAGCAGTACCAACTTTTTACTAGGTCCTGGATGACTGACTAAACACACACATTCAACTGAACTTCATGGCTAAACACTAGGAAAATTCAAAAAAAACCCTAACGAATGAACCAAAGACTGACTAGTCAGGAATCTCTTCCCAGTTCCTTCCTAGTTACTAAGACACTACTGATATCAAAAAACACAAAATGACAAAACACAATTTTATTAGTGCTGAGATAAACAGTATATTCTAAGGGTATCTAACTTTTTTGATACACCTTATTTATAGTGGAAAAAACAAACAAACAAAACAGAAAAATTATTAACGTAAATAATAATATTATTAATAATAATAATAAAAGAGAAATATTCAATTATGTTTTTATATCTCAATAATAATAATAATATTAAAATTTAGGACACAACGCGTAAATTTTATAACAAATGTGTGTCAATTAAATATAAAGTTTGATTTAGTCAATTTTTTTTGTCCTGTTTGCTATTTTTTTCGTGTTTGTGTGTGTGTGTGTGGTATCGAAGAAAATGCGAAGCAGGAAGATT